TTGGTGAAGTTGTGGGCTGTATTGGTGGCATTTGCTGGAGAAGTTTGAAAGGACATTGGAATCCCTTAGCTGTGGTGGACCCTTGGTTTGCATATCTAAACCTTATTTTAAAATATATTCCTACAATCGGTGCATGTGAGGAGTCCTCTTGTAGGATGTTCAGAGGATAGCCTTTTTTTTAAATATTGTTTCTTTGTTAATTTTCTTTTGTTTTAGTCATTGGAAGTTGCCTCTTTCCTATTCTGAAGTTAGCAGGTCGAACCGCCAGGGGGCAGCGTCCCCTTGGACCCCCGACAGACTGGTATATTTTTGTATTGATGTTGTTTTATTATTGGTAGTACAAATAACTATTAAAATATGTCCTATTGTTAGCATGACTAGTGGCACAAGAAGGAAAGATCCTGCATGATAATATGGAACTCAAGTTGAAGTGTCAGGTGAAGGTGCAAAGAATGGATATGTTTACATGAAATGTAATTTCGGTGAGAAACGCATAATTGGTGGCGTCAAGAGATTGAAAAATCATCTAGCCTGCACTCATGTCAATGTGGGACCATGTGCAAAAGTTGCTGATGAGGTAAAAAAGGAATGTACAAATTATTTAAAGAAGTTTGCCACCACAAAGGAGGTCACACAAAGAAATATGGAAGAGATGATTGGAAACTCTTTTTACTATGGATCACAGCATGAAAATTCCAGTACTAGAAGCCATCTAGTTTCTTCTGATCGAGGCAGTCGGGGGCCCATGGATAGATTTATGCTAAATATTGATAACGAAGAAAACATAAATACTCAGGATATTCAGCCTCCTATAGCAACAAAAGAACTCAAGAACAGAGTTTGTTTGGATATCGCCAGATTCATCTATGAAAATAGAATTCCATTTAATGTTGTTAGGAGTCCGTCGTGGATCAATATGTTACGATCTGTTGGAAGCTATGTAAGAGAATTACAACTTCCAAGCATGTATGAGATGAGGACTTGGATGCTGAATGAGGAGGTTAAGACAACTTCAAAAATGGTGGACGATGATAAGAAGACTTGGATTGAGACATGAGTGACAATAATGTCAAATGGTTGGTCAGATATTCGACATAGAAGTATTATTAATTTCTTGGTCAACAATCTATATGGAACAGTTTTTCTCAAATCAGTAGATGCTTAAATTGAAAAGTGAAATCAAGGTTAATGGAGTGATACCACAGAATTATTAAATCCATACATGGAGAGGGGGATAATGTATGAGAGATGATTACCTTGAAAGGTCAATCATAGAAAGAACTAGGCCGTGGAAACATTTTGAAATTGTCAATCCTAGAAGGCATAAGCAATGTCTTATCGCTAAGAGAGCTGGCTCGACATTGTATATCCCTTCCCATTAAAGAGTCTTGGGCCGTCGTCAATAAGTTGTTAGAGGAAAAATTCAAATGGTTTCCATTAAACTGTGGAACTGTGGAAGTAAGGTTTCCACCCATTTACTTGAAGCAATTTTAGATTCCACATGTACTCAGATCATTATATCAAGCTCCTAAATACGAGATCTGAGAATAGCTCCGATCTATACGCTAAAATATTCCACTTGATATTTATGTCAATCTCCTAAATGCGAGATCTGAGACTATTTTGCGGATTTGTTTAAAGTGATTGCAAAATTACACCAATGATGGCCGTGTTGACAAAAAATCTCAACCGGAGGAGATCCTATCTTTCAAAATACTCAAACCCAATGCAAAATACAAAAATATTTAAAGTGAAAATAAAGTTACCCCAATAATGGTTGCGTTGAATGTAAAACTCAACCGAAATGATCAATTCTCAAAGCCTATTAAAATTTCAAAATCTAACATTCAAATTCTAAACATTTAAATGAAAATTTCATCACCAAAAACTTTAAACTAAAATCCATCCACACTTCGCAACGGTTTGGCAAGGATGATGAATTGAAGAATCACTTCTGCTCATAAAGAGCCGATGTCTTGTGGAATGCATAACTACAATTCATTCTCAGTTGATTCATCATAACAGGGACTTGGCACGTGCCCTTTGATCAAGTGGTTGTGCTGCAAAATGGAACCACAATATTATGGTCAAAGCTCGTGTGTTCTCTAATGGTTAAAAACATCTTAAATGATGAATTATAAGGTGCACTCTATAAGATATAAGATCCACTATTAGCTAAGGTTGACTTAAATTTATCACCTTAGACAAACATCCACCCGAGGTTTATGAGATATTCTTGGACAAAACAACCTATGGTTGCCTACAAGGTTCCTTCTGTTAGATTGAGTCGACTACCTCCTCTGACTAAACAAACGAGCGACCATAACAGCTCGATATGACGAAACCATGGGATCTTGATCAGGCCGGTCATCATTCCCCCATCACCCGCTTTAATTTTATGGTGATTTCAAATCATGAAGTCAAAAATTCATAACCAAATTCAAACCCTAAAAGTGTTGCTACTATACGCTATGTAATGATTAGACCTATTTAATGACAAGTCTTAATTAAAAGTTCTCTCTCGTTATTGGGAGAGGTAATTAACCATAGGGGGCTTGCGGTTAAGGGAAACTAGAACTCAAATGATAAAGTCCTCAAAAAATGGGGTGAAATCTCTAGGAGCGTCTTATCTAAAACCTAATTTACCTTCTGAAAATCTACTGTGGAACCTAAACTTATTAAAACTCTCACTACAAAAAAGAAAGCGCAGAGGCTGGGGCACGAATCGGAGCACACACCAGCATTGTGTGAAGGTGTCAGCAAGACTAACGTGCAAAGGTGATGAAGTTGACGGCATGCAAAGGTGGCGATTGGGTCGACATCATGCAAAGTTGGCAAGAGGACCAGTGACATGCAAATGAAGGTGAAGTAAAAACGTGATCTAGACAGCATGCTAAGGTAAGTGGTATTTTTATTGATATTTAAAGTTTTAAGAGTGTAAATAAAGAAGTTTGGGTGTTAAACATATAAAATTAAACTTTTATAGCGCGCACCGTATTTGTAAATCCCCTTTTTTTTTTTAGATATGGGGACTATCAAAGCCCGTCAAAAAGGCTAACAATAGCAATATATTCATAAGACAAAGTTGGTTTAACAGACATTCTCAGCATGCTGAAACAAGAAATGAACAACATGCTAAAACAAGTAACGAAAATGAGGTTTTCGAAGATTTTCTGGACTATTGTGCGCATTGTCTTGCTTTGGGACATTATAAGGCTGGGTGTATGATTCTTCATCCTAATCTTGACTCTGTTGCTTTGCCGAATCCTTCTATTTCGTTGGGAGTTGGTGACCGTGTGGTTAACCCATCTAATTATGTGGTTCCAGCTGTTGGTTTTGAATCTGCTGTGATTGATTTACCTGTGCCATCTAATGCCCCTGCTTTTGTTTCTTCTGATTTGTTTACTCCTATTCAAGTTGTGAATGATGTGGAATGTGAAGGTTAGTCTTGTTAATTTAGTGGATTCTGTTGAGGGTTTGAAGGGAGTGGCCCTTGTTGCCAAGCTCCCTCGGTTGTGTTTGAGTGAGCCTGCTATTTTGAAAGGTGGCTTTAATTCGAAATCTTCTTTATCCTGCGAGGGTAGGTCTGCCCCGAGCAATTTGGTTGTGGATGTCTCTCCTCATTCTCCTGGTCGTGGTGTGGACTTGTCCCCTGTGGTTATTGACAGTCCTGTTACTGCCTCTTCCTCTTTTAATTTGCAGGTGAACTTGCAGGCTGTTCCTGTTGCCTGTGAGTTGAATCGGGCACATTATGTTTCTAATTTAAATTCTGATACTTTGGCTATTGGTGAAGACTCTGCTCGTTTGGTTGGTCCTTCTGTTAACTCACCTGTGATGCAGACTGTTCTTGTGTATGGCCCGTTTGTTGAGGTTTTTGTTAATTTTATATCTCATGAGGCATTGTTTTCTCACGTGGGTGCCAATATGGGGGAGGATGTTAGAATGCAAATAGACTGGCTTCATGGTTCGTCGGAATCCTCTTCGGAGGAAAGCGGGGATGAAGCTCCTGGGGATAATTTTGTTTTGCAGAAAGACCGGCCTATTGTGTCGGTTTCCCCTCAGGGGAGGGGTAGACGTGGTAGGAAATGACTTTGGGGTGCCTTGGCTCTTCCCTAGCCTGTTGGTTCTCATTGTGGTTGGTTTCTCTCATTTGGGTTGTGGCTATGGGCAATTTGGTTGAATGGCTATATAGGTTACCTTTTCTTCTATTTTGTTTGGTGGTTGCAGTTTTGTTGGTTTAAAAATTGCGGTTGCGAATGGTTGTCTATGGGCAATGATGTGGCTATGACTCACCATCTGTTGCCGTGGCTCGTGGCAACCTTTGGTGGTTCTCCCCATACTAGATGGCCCGAGCCTGGCTTTGGGTGGTTGGTAGCCTCTGCCAATTACTGAGCCTGATGGCCCGAGCCTAGCTTCAGGTGTAGACGGTAGACTGCATGGCTGCTGGTGGCTTGTTTGGAATTCTGCTGAATGGGTTTTTTGGTAGGTTTTATATTTGTTTTTGGTTTGATTTTGTATTTAGGTTGATTCCGAGGCTCTTAGGTTTTGATTCAAATATTGTATTTTAGCAAGCTCTGGAATCATTAAGGACTTGTAATTTTGATTTATATTAACTCGTAGGCCTCATCCGTGAGGTTTTAAGAAAAAAAAAAGTAACGAAAATGAGGTAAAGAATCAGATAAGAAAAAAAAAGGTTTTTCCCGGCTCCAGTTGAGCTAAAAGGTAAATGGGATCTTAAATTCTACACAGCGCTATCTTCAAGCTTTTTCTTTTCTAAAGATGCAAAATGCAAGAAAAAAAAAACTATGAGATTAGTTAGTTCTATCATGATCATCTATCATGCATTTAACCATATTCATTAGCTTCTTAGTAGTCATTGATAACAAAAGAAAGCCCATTTGTCAGAAACTTTGAGCCAACACATCAGAAGCTCAGCATTTTATGATAAATTAAGCAAATATTCAACTCCACAAGCTCTTGGACAAGGAAACAGTCCAAACCTTTGCACAATCACCGAGCCATTTCATTATACTTCGTGCAGCTTGGAACATCTCACCCAAAGCATTCAATGTAACCTTCCAAGAAATGGTCACTTAAGCCAATGCTAGATGTAATTCATCAATTAACAGTGAACAAATGTTATGACTTTACCTTAGCTGCATAGCAAGATACACGAAAGAGTAACCTGTCATCTGTGATTTTTCCTTTTTCTATCAGTCTCCTTTTTATCTGCTCTCTGGCACCAACATATGTAACACCATAGACTGATGTCATGACAGTCTGCTTTACTAACTTCCTGTCCACCTGAAAGCTAACAAGGTCCAATCATAAATGACAAGATGTATTAGAATATCGATAAAGTCAACCCTCCAAAGGCCGTACACTGGATAGAAATTTGTATAACCATGGATAATGTAAAAGGCACAAACCTGATCAACTAAGATTTTAGCCAATGAAGCAGTAGGATCACTAGCTGGGTCTTTCTGAGAATCTTGCTTTACTATCTCATAAACCCTTCAAATTGAACATAACAAATTTAATTACCACAGGCGCAAACTTCAAGAGAAAATATACGGTAAAGATGAGCATTGACATGAGAAAATTATATATCCGCCAAATTCCCAACTAAACAAAGTTGGTCTTCTTTAAAACTGCAACATATAAAATTATTGCTTTAACATTAAATTGATGATGAGCTGTACAAACGGGTAGTGTTATTTCAAGATCACATTGCATAACCACCTAAATCAGGAAGCATGATTACAAAACTATAATTTTACCATTAATATTTTGACACTAAATAATAAGTATATTATAAGGGGTGAAAAAAGATTTGATAAAATTATAAAACTATACAGTGTGAGCCATGATTCCGAGAGTTTAAATTCAGCAGAACAATTCCATAAAATTTAGACATATGCAGAAACTCTAGCAGAATAAGTCAGCAGCCTTCATTAAACCACGTGGCTGAGAATCCCACCTCTGTCACTGATGTTGGAAAACATTTGATTACAGTGAAACTATAAATCTTGAAATATTCCTATTTGGAGCATGTGGGTTATTGATTATAATAGCCATATGATAAGTCCAATAACTTCGAAATTGTTCTATTAACATCAAAACTTTCTGGGTTGATTAAAGAACAGTCAATCTAACAAGCATAGAAGCAATTTCCTTTAGCACACAAAAGAACTGTCCTTTCGAGTGATATTTTTAAAAAGAAAATGATTTCCGATTTCCAAATACTTACTTCAAACATGCATCAATTTTACTCACCATCTTTTCTGCATTAATTCCTCTCGTGACATTTTCTAAATATTTTCATAATCCATCAATTTTACTCTTTACCATAACCCAACTCCACACATACAGTCATGCATATCACAACCCATACTCTCCATCATTTCTACTTAATTCTCCTCCCTCATGCTTCCTCTAAAGAACAAATACACCCTGTCTGCCACAAGCCACTTCACCCCATCCATACGACCACCATCAAGACCAAAGTTTCCTTTATCCATGGTAGCATCTACAATCTATTCTAAACCCTGAAGTCCTAAACGTCAGCATCTATCATTGCTTCTCCACAAGTGCAGCCACCATCTTCGTTGTTTGTTGTCTTAAACCCCCAAGGATGTGATCAACACCTCACTCAAATGCAAGAACATCGATCCAAATGCTTTAGATCTATGATCAAACTATTGATGAGGTTCTTGGTAACGCAAATTCTGAGAAGCTATATAATTCTAATAGTAGTATTCTAAAACAAAAGTGGATTTGAGGTTTCAAATCTTGGCCGCTAGAAGAGGCACGAGTACTAATACATCTTTTTGTTGACCCCAATACTAGTGTCGGGTTCGAGTCGACCACGCAAGGTCAATTTTGAAATAAAAAAAGCACGAAATCGCATATAATTCACCCGACGTGTGTCGACCCAAAACCAAAAAATCACCGAAACGACCTCCGTTCGCGAAACGGATAGCGCTGATGCGTCCGGAGCAACGAAAACAGCTAAGATCGACACCCATATTGATGGGGGTCGACGGTCGGCGAAAATTTAAATTGTGGGCGCGCGAATCGAGACGACGACTTGTGCGAGCGGCGACGCGGCGACTCACTAGATGCAAGATTAAATTTTTTATTTTATTTTATTTTGTGCAATATAATTAAATTTTTGTTTAAAAAGAAAGGGAGAGAAAGAGTTTTTTAAATAAAAAAAGTTTTTTCTAAATAAAAAAATCCCAAAAATACCTAAACTACCCCTCACTTAACCCTCACTCCCTCATATTCTCTCCTAGCCGCCCCCCTCTCCCCACTCACGACATTCTCACGCCCAAACTCACGCAAGAAGGCCGGCCTCCCTCCCTCCAAGGTTCAAGGTAAAGCTTCTTCCTCTTCTTCTTCCTCCATTTTCTTCTTTTCATCTTCTTCTTCTTCCTTCCTTCTTCTTCTTCTCTCCCTTTTTTCTTTTTCTTTCTTCATCCCTCCAAGTTTCCCACTATTTTCTTCTATTTTCTTCCTCTACTCTCTTCTCCTTCCTCTCCTTCATCTTCTTCTTCCTCCTCCAACCTCTCTTTCTTAAAACCTACAAAACCCTAAACCCTAATTTTTTTCCCTCACTTCCACTCACCAAACCACCTACATCCCTTCACAAAAAATGTTCCTACACACCTCCTACATCCTTCCAACAAAAAAAAATTTCATCATTCATTTTCTCTCTCTAGAATGAGAGTGAAATTCCTTCATGTACGGCTCAATTTCCATCCTAAGTGTCTCCCCTTCCCACCATACCTTCAAATACCTTGCATAGAGAGAGAAACAAATTTCCCTCCTCTCTTTCTCTCCAAAAATGAGAGAGAGAGATTTTTCTCTCTCTAACCCCACTCCCCTAATCTCCTACACACTCTAAGCCCACTCCACAAAAAAAAACCCATAAAATCCTCTTTCCCTCTCTTTCTCTCTCTAGAAAGAGAGCTCTCTTCCTTTCTTTCTCTCTCTACACTTTGTTTTAAATAAAAGAAAAGCATAAATGATTAATTTTATTGCACAAATAATAATAAAAAAAATTGAAATTGTACATCGCAGGTTCCTACGTTGCCGTCATCCGCCGTCGCCGCCTCGATTGCTGCGCACCCAAGGTAAAAACTAGTATTTACATTTCTATGCATTAAATAAGTACTCGTGACCGTTTTTCTTAGCGGGCGAGGAAAACTTAAGTACCCGTGACGCACTGAGCGAGCGAGGAAATTCGTATGCATGAAAATATAAGTACCCGTGACTGCTTTTCTTAGCAGGCGAGGAAATTTGTTATTTGTAAAAAAAATTATTTAATTAAGTACCCGTCATAGCTTTTAGGCGGGAAAATGTCATACTTTAAATTTGTGCTCAAAGACCCTGTGACCGCTTTTTTTAGCAAGCGAGGATTGGAACTGCAGCCGCGGTGTCACCCGACATCTACCGTGACTGCCTTTCTTGGCAGGCGGGAAGGCCTTACACACTCCGAGGCAGCCCCATACGCGGGGACGACGCCGGAGTGCTGCCAAAATTTTCAGCAAAAACCTATAACTTAGAAAATTTAAAAAAAGATTTAAAATCTACTTAAATGTTTTAAGTTAACCAAAAATAAAATATACGACACCCTAGGCTCCCGACACTGGAAAACATATACAAAAGAAGTATAAATCAATATGAAATGCAACATACAGTGAGTCTTCAAGGGAATTAGTTGTTCGCCAATAGGTAGGAATCAAGCCTCTTCCTCCTAGCACCTGACTTGCGCCCCTAAGTCCCTCACCAAAATCTTTTTACATAAATAGGATGAGAATATATGAGTTGAAATCTCCTCCTATTTATAACATTGAGTTTGAATTATTCATGAGCCCCACCAGCCTAGGATTCTTTGCTAAAAGACGGAGTAGGTACACCTGCGGGCCCCATCTACTTAGGATCCTAAGATGCCATTTCGAGGCTCTGGCATTGGATTCCTAAAGTATTCACTAGCAGGTGAAATACGTGCGTAAATACGAAAGTAAATACGCGAGATTAAATACAAGTGAATATGATTGATAATTATCTTAAAAGAGGGGGGTAAGAGTAAAAGTAAAAAGAAAATTTACCCTTCCTACAAAATACTTTTATGTTCATTGAAAACACGTAGGATTCTCGAACATCCCCGGTAATTTCTGATTGAACTCCTTGTAATAAAAATGTGTCCGTCGTATTGCAAGTCACGGGCGCTCTAAGTGGTGTGCGCACCAGCTGTTAAAGTTAGGTGGTTCGTACATCCCGTGAACATGTCTTTAAAAAGAGACAAAATAACGCACTTTTATGTGTCACGGGCTGTATGACCCCTAATTAAAGTAGGCATATCACAACTGGAAAGTTTGTCGCCTACGAGCAAAGCAGGAGATTCGTTAGTGCACTATAGTGCCCCTACAGAAAATAACAAGTAGTGCACGATAGTCTACCTGTGCAAAGCAGCAAATAATTCAATCCACAAGCTGCTACGCCATGCCACCGGATCCGAAACTTCTATACAAGCGGACAGAAGACGTCTACAAATATTTCAAAATACCCCTGCATCTGCACTATAAATTGTATACATATAGGTACACTAAAGGGGTAAATACAACCAAACACCCGCATGGGCCCCGGCGAGCGTGTTAACTGTACACACGTGACGCTTAGGGATGCTGTGCGGGTCGATAAGTGAATTCAAGTTCGAACCCGATCCTTCTATTCGGATCAATAGAAGTTGACAGGGTTCGAACCTTCGAACAAATACAGGGTTCTGGGGACCGGTGTATTTGTTTTAATACATTCATATCAGGCCTTCAAGGCCTGTAATCAAGAGAATTCACTATCAAATGCACAAAGCCTACGAGAAACCCGATCCTCCTAAGCAAGCTAAATAGGAGTAGACAGGGTTCAAATTATCGGATAAATATGCGGTCGCGAAGTCGACCGGAATATTTATCTTATACATTCATATCAGGCCTTCAAGGCCTTTAACAAAGGAAAATCGTAAACAAAGACACAAAGCCTACGAAACCCGATCCTCGATCAACAGCTTGGTCGAGTTGACAAGGTTCAATCAAATAAATAGAAATGACCTCATACCCCGATGATGGCCGTGTTGAATGTGAATCTCAATCGGAGGGGTTAATCTCTCATATATTTCAAAATGTCCTAAAATTTCTACAAAACCCAAATTCCACAAAAATTCAAAAAAATCATCAAGCTCTAAGATATTTAAATTTGAAATCAATCATCAAAACACTTAAAGCAAAATTCATCCACCATCCGCAACAATTTTTCAGGGTGGACAAGTTAAAAACTACTTCAGCTCACATTGAGCTAAATGCCTAGTCGATAATATCACTATGATCCATTCTCAAATAATCTTCTGCCAGTAAGGACGTGGTACGTGTCCTCTAACAGGCGGTTTTGCCGCCAAATGGCACCGCAGAATAAACGGTTATGACTTGGGACCCTCTGAACCGAGTGGTTTTGCT